CCTTTTTTTTTTTTTTTGGTCAAAATGGCTCCCCTTAGAAGGTCGGGTGGGACCTGCTGTGGCACCGTAGACCCTAAGCTCTATTTTAAATGTGCTTTACATCTGAAACTCGTCTGGGGGATGAGAAGTGGATGGAGGAGGCAGGTGATTGGGAACAAGATAGAAAAATGCAAGCTTAGAGATGGGACAGGATGGGAAAAAACGCTTAGGAAAGGCAGGGTGGATAAATAAGAATTCACATTTCATCCGTTTCTATCATGTCCTCCATTCTTTATGTCAGTGTTTTTCAACCTCAGCAACTTTAAGATGGGTGGACTTCGACTCCCAGAATATCCCAGTCACTATTTGTGGACTTCAGCTCCCAGAATTTCCCATTTGTGGACTCCCAGAATACTCCAGCTAGCATTTGTGGACTTTAACACCCAGAATTCCCCCAGTCAGTATTTAAGGACTTCTAGAGTTCTCTAGCCAGCATTTATGGACTTTAAAACCCAGAATCCCCCATCCAGCATTTAAGGACTCCCAGAATTCTTCAGCCAGCATTTATGGACTTCATTTCCTAGAATTCTCACATTGCTGTCTGGAGAATTCTGGGAGCTGAAGTCCACAAATGATGTCTGGAGAATTCTGGGAGCTGAAGTCCACACATCTTAAAGTTGCAAAGGTTGAGAAACATTGCTTTCTGTAATCCAGCTGAGCACTTAAGCTGGTACCACCACTGCGCAATTAAATTTAAGACACAGATCTTAAATCTCAAACAGTTTTTAGACAATAAAGAAAAGGACTTCTGAATTTTGTTTGCTAAAAAAAAAAAAAACACAGATTGAGACATACTTATGGGAAAGGAGTATTCACAGCTCTTGGGCCTGCCCGCTAAACAGAACCTCCATGCCAGAGGCATCCTACCCCTGTGTAGCTGGGAAAGGAGGAAGGCCTCGTTGAGATCCGGCTGCTTGCACACATCCCCAAAGCGAGCTCGGTTGACAGAAAAGATGGGAGGGTTGGAATGAAAAAAAAAACAAAAAACGCCAGAAAGCAGAGAAATTTGGGGAAGGGTGAGCGGAGCCAGAAGGGAACAGGAAGAAGGTGCAGCGTGCACTTAAAATGCAGTGGAACATGGGGGCAGGAAGTCAAATTCAGGGGTGGTTCAGCCGGTTCGGACCGGTTTGCATGAATCGGTAGTTCCGGCGATTAGTTGGCCCCACCCACCCACACCACCCCTAGTCTGTCCTATATTTCCATGGTTTGCAGCCCAGCTGATTCGCACGGCGCGGCGGATGGCCGCGCCTCAGCTGTTTTACTCACCGGGGCTGCAGCAGAGGGTAAGTTTGAGAGTTGAAAATGGGCGTTTTTTTAAAAAAAACGCTGCGCGCGCGAAGCACGCGGTCACCGAACCAGTTGTTCCACCGGTTGAATCCCACCGCTGGTTGGGTTTTCAGTCTCTTAATGAACCTGTGCAAAGTCTCTATGCTGTGTGGCGTGGATAAGATACATACGTACAGAGATCACATCGGTTGCATACGGTGGACTCCTGCGGCGAAGTGCAGAAGTGGCGCGGGGGGCGGGGCCCTACGGACCCTAAAAACCCCAAATCTTCTCGGATTCAGGAGCCAGCGCTCCCCAAAAAACATCGGCCGCTCTGCGGGACAGTCCCGTTTCTCCCCCCCACCCACCCCCCAGAGTTCAGCGCCCGTTCCTCGAGGCAGTTGTGAGGAGGAGTCTTTTGAGAGACTGGCGTCGGTTTCTGAGCATGCGGAGTTTCGTGGTTAGCCCTCCATTTTGGTCAGGAATATTTGGCTACGGAGAAAAACGGAGCCTGTTTTTTTTTTTAAACAAACAAAACAAAACAAAAACAACAACAAAATTTTGTGCTGCCGCAAAGGCACTTTCTTCCTGTCTGGAAACTTTCGAAAATGACAATGCCAGGCCTCCTTCTCCAGTTTGTTTGGGTTGTTGTTTTTTTTCCTCCCATTTCGACGGAGAACAACGATACCGCCGTTAACCTTGTCCCGGCGCCTGGAACGATGCCAGGGTTGGAAACAACAACAACAAAAAATACGTTGGGGAGACTTTTTTTTCCCTCCTCCGTTCCGAAGAAGCTGCAGAAATCTCCTTTCTCTGTCTCTCTCTTTCTGTCTCTCTCTTTTTTTTCTTTTCCAAGAGCAGGCCAAGCCTCGAGGTTGTGCTAAGGCTGGGCGTTTAAAAACCCTAGTCCCGTTCCTATCAGTCCTCAGCTGGCAGCTGAAGATTTAACAAAAACAAAACAAAAACAAAACAAAAAAACAAAATTAAAAGTTTGGTCCCGGTGTTTTCTTTTTTTTTTTTTTCTTTTTTTTTCCTCGTTTCCAAGGTTTAAAAAAAATAGAGCGCCTGTAATATATATTTATATATGCTATATATGTATAGATATACTCTTTCTATTCCTATGTACATTTTCTTTTCTTTTTTTCTTTTTTTAAATTAATAGGCTGGCACTACAAAAAAAAAAAAAAA